TCAGTCCTGATCCTCAGAGGAAACTTACAAAACACTTCCCAGAGATGAGCCTATGAACTCCACTTCATCAACCTCTTGGATACTAAAAATCATGGACTAAATATAGACATTGGATTTATGACACTTTATAACCTACCTGACATCTGACTCCCCAGGTAGCTCTCTACTATTCATCCCCCTTTTCTCTCTCCTACCTTCCTCCTCCTGCTCAGCCTGTCTCTCACCCACTGACTCCTCAATCTATATTTACACTGACTACCTATCTTGTATGCATACCAGCCCAGCCTCTGGCTTCTTTACTTTTCATTCCATCCAAGAAAAGCACACACCAATTGCTGTAACTTCCTCAGATTGAGAAAGGGTTTTTGAACCCAAAAGCTTGCTTAAAAATTGTTTTCCAACTATTTAAGTTGGTCTAATAAAAGATATCAGATTCACCCAAAGAACCTTGTCTGCCAAGAGATAAAATATAAATTGTAAAAGGTATTTCTAAATGAATTGGTAACTAATAATTAAATGTAAAATACAACTACTTTAATTTAGTCATCTTCTGCATACTATTCATTAAAAGTCCCACATTTTCAAATATCGAGGAGGAAAAAAAAATCTCAAGTGGCCTGTAAAATTTCAGGCACTGTTATGTTTTTGAAGATGTATTTTTCTGCATCTAGAGTAGGATTCTTAACATTAAAAATATATCAGTCCTTATTACATGCACAGGAATTGCAATTCTGATAAGTCTCTATGCAATCTTGGAATCTAAGTGAAGGGCCACTTCAAAATTGGACTTGCAGTGTCTGTATAGATTGGGCACTTCAATGGGACTTTTTGGCACTTTTAGCTAAAGCTGATTCAACCCAGTATTCGATAAAAGTGCCAAAAGAGCCCCACTAAAGTGGGAGAGCTATACAGACATTGGGCGAGTTGGATTCAGCTAAGGCACAGCCTCTTCTGGGCATGTGTGGGGCTCACTGCAGAAATGCACCAAGTTTAAAGTGCCGGGGTTTTGGAGGGTTTTTTTTTTTAATATCTGCAAGTAGCCTCAGAGTCTTTTATATGCTTTTGAGTTCTTCCCTCAACCTTCAAAAATTTTGACATGACAATATGACTATGAACTTCTTTGAAGTTTTATTTGATAATAAAAAGAGGCCTCGGGATTTTCTTTTCTTTTTTTCTTTACAATTGTTGAGGTTTAGAGGTTCAGTTTATTGACCACATCTTAAATTTATTTTGCTTCTTGAGTACAGAGTCATGATTCAAAATGTCAGAAGGACAAAAGTGACCAGCAATTAGACATGAAATTAAACACTTATAATCCTATTAATCCATATAGAACAGATGTTGCTTCAGTGGTATTAAGCATAATAAAAATTAATAGAAATAAAAATTATAACCTTTCTACATATGCTTCCATACCTTGGCTGTCAAGCTGAAAAAGCCTTTTGGTTCAACCATTTTCTCTAACACATGGCATTTCATTCCAGCAGTACTGTCATACTCATAAACCACTCCATATTCCAGGTGAACATTATCAACAGTCAGACTAACATGATCTTTCCTCCCATCAATTATTGCCATAGTGTTGAATTTATCAATTACCTCTGGAATAAAAAATAAATTAATTAATTAATTTTATTTTGGCTCTCTCACACCTAAATCAAAATAAAAGAAAAGCACTAGGCTAAATCTTTGGAAATAGGAATCTTTTGATAACTATTATTATAAGGCACATAAAAAAAAGTCCTGTCTACAAGTTGAATCAATTTAGGAAAATACTCAGGTTGTGGATGACTAAAGACTGAATTAGATTAAGAGGTGTGAGGAGTAGTATCTATAGACACAAACTATAGTATATTGTAGACACAAACTGTAGTAGTATCTATATTATAACACACTGTTTGTAAAAAGTTTGTTAAGCTTTACTTTGCTTGAAAGGTACTTTGATATTTGACTCATATTTGGGGGCCCAAAACAGCATGTTATTCATCTTAATTGACTTCAGACTATGTTATCATCATTGATGAATTTAAACTAGAGTTTTTCATGAAAGTGACATTCTCCCAAAATATTAGGTTGAATATGGGAATTTCAACTATTTCAAGGAAGATGGTATTTTAATATTTTCTTATTCTGTCAGATCAGGAATTGCCAATAAATCTTTACATAAAACAAACCTCATGGTCTGCTTCATAGTTCTCTAGGGAAAGAACAAATTCTATTTTCCTTGCTAATAAAAAGGAGATAGTAAAAAGAAAGTCATGCTAAAAATAAAATTCAGACCTTCTACTTTGCAGTCAAAGACATCCCCTCCATCACCTCCAGGGGGCTTGGAGTTTGTTTTCTGAAGATCTTCCTGTGCACTCTCAATACTGTTATATACCCACTGTATGGAATCTTGCTAAAAAAAAAATAAATTCATGTGTAATAAAAACTGCTCCCTTTCACTTCTTTCAAACAGGAGAACATTTTAATTCCTTAACTATTAGAAACGTTTGTCAATTATATTGTTTTCTGTATTTCAGTTTGAAAAACAACAAGATGTTGGACAAAGAGTAGTGAGATTGATTTTTATCAAAAACAGTTGTAGGAAAATGCATTGTACTGATCCTAGAGAGTTTATCAGTTAATTTGTTTCTGACTGTGTTTATAGTTAGTATAGCTACCCTTTGTTTTATGCCTCATCAAAAAAACCTGTACAGCACATCTGAAGCAAACGCAGTGAAACAAACATTTTGTTAAACAAGGAATAAGCAAGATTCCCTTCTCCCACAGAGCGTCCACATAAAATTAGACTCACTTAACCTCTTACTTTTCTGATAAGTGCAGCAGAATAAAGGACAAAAATAAAAATGCAGTATAGCTGAACTGAAACTGGAGCCTCTAAAGAGCAGCGAGTGGGATGAACTGTAAGTTAAGAAAGAGTATCAAGTGTTGAGCTGATTATCATATTTGCCATATGAAATGTTTATCAAAGTACAGCCTAATTATGTAAAACATATATTACCTTTCTAATCATCCACCAATTAATGGGCTAATATCCTTAATGATTAAGATATATTTTGCCTTTCTAGATAAACCCACATTCAAATATGCTTTACCTTTTACTCAAAGCAATTCATACAGTATTGAAGGTACCTAATATTTTGTATCCAGATTTCAGAGAGTCTTCCTAGAAATACCCACTAGCAGTTATTTACACAGCTACAATCCAAAGGAAATAATTTTGAATCCCAGTTTGCTTAGTGAGATGCTGCTGATTTGACTGTGGGATTGTTTCATAGGTCTATTGTTCCTCAGACACCAGTCTGTACCAATCAGTCAGAGCTCTACTCGTATCTTGAGGAGTCTACTGTGGGCTCAAAGGACACCTTATTTTGTTCATGGAACACGATTCCCAATTACTCCCTAACCTGAATTCAAGCAACCTTCACCAGTATTGTAAATGCCTTTAATTTAGGCAGTTAAAGATAAAAGAAACTATACAATGGTATCTAGAAGTAATAAAAGTGCCCCCTTTTGACAAGAACTCAACTCCATTTTTAAATCTTTTGAGATCAATCATGATATGGTATATAACTGTTTCAATTCTATACTGAAACACAAAGAGATCCACAGGAAGCATTTTCATTAATCTGCTATCATCTACATCACACACTTGAAACAAACCCATATTTCCACTGGTTATCGCATAGCTGTTCAGTTTGTCTAAGAGGAGGGTTTCACACTCCATTTTAATTGGATTTTTTCTCAATTAGCATGAAATTAGATATATTGTGAAGTTAATTAATTATATTAGCTTATGGTTTATGAAGAATTTCCAAGAACTTGGAAAAATTACATTGCTGAATTTACCTTTTTAAAATAACATTTACTGTAGGTTTTAGAACATTTGATTTTCTTTCTAAACTAAAAAGCAAAACTATATTTTGTTCATCTAAAGAAATAGAAAATCCGAATCTTTGAAATAATCAATTTCTTAGCAATGCGGAGTAAAGGGAGAGACATTTATAAGCAAGATACATGTAAGATACATATATTTTTGCATGCATGTATAAGTGTGTGTGTGTATTGCTCTCTCTGTACTAAACTGACACTAAAATCTGGAAAAGAAATTAGCAGAGCAGGTTATATTCACTTGCTGATGAACAGGAAGCAAGCTATGTAAATGGATCTCCATCAAAATGAGAATGTACCTCAAAGTATTTTCTGGATGGAACACTGATAGAAATAATCCTTTAAGAAGATAACGTGAGAAAAATATTTAGTTAAATGCTTTGCTTTTTGAAGCAGAAATCAAACAGAACTTGAACAGCAGCAATAAGTGTTAAACAATCATCAGATTTTATTGTTTAATAACCCTGTCTCCCCTTTGTTTCTTGAACACATGCTGGATACATCGGGCACTATATAGAACAAAACATGAAAAAATACACAGGGAGACAAATGGAAGCATAAGCAGTAAACTGTACCTGCATTGGACGCCTGTATTTCCTGCAGGCTGTAACATGGGCAATAACGCTTGCATGACTCTCTTTGCTGACATTAATTCCATTCACTTTGATTATGCACTGTCCAGGGTGGAGACCAGCTGCAGCTGCCACAGTTCCTTAAAAAAATTGTGAAAGTTGCCAAATCACATGCTAAAGGATCCTCTTTTAAACTAACTGGCGATAAGCTCATTTTGCATGAGGACCCAGTAGTGTTGCTCCTTACATGGGTCCATTGGCCTTGGCTAGTAAAGCCAGTCAATGGGATGCCAAGAAATGTCATGGTTCTATGCTGACCATGTGGGGAATTTTCTGTATAAACTTCATAGATTATTTTAGTAAAAAAACATTCAAACAGACATCTCTGAAAATCTAGGAAAATATGCATTTAAATTTTTTAGTAAAAAAGATAAAAAATTCTGTAATTTGACAAAAATTAAATATAAAGAATTATTATATTCTAAATTCTATTCAGTTTCCTAAGCCTTTGCTTCTTGACTATTGCAGATGTCTCTATCACTACCTAAAAAAAGAAGCTCTGACAACTGGCCCCATAATTCAAAGAAAATATTAAAGTCAACCAGAAAGTTCCAATCAAACAACATGTGCAAAACCCATGTCCAAAGGCATTTCTGTGTGTTCAGTTCTTATTTTAATCGCCCTTCAATTTCATTTGTAATGGAATGGCATACCGCCTGCTTCCAACATTTAAAATGATGGAATACAAACTTTTATTAACTTTAATGATTGTGAACAAAGATAAAAACACTGTTTATAAATAAAGTATATGGTCCAATGTTTTTTTTTCTCTTTAGAGTGACAACCTTGGAAAAGTCCTCATTCTGATGAACAGAAAAAGCATAGATGGAGAAAATCTATTAGAGCTGTGTGAAATTTTGGTAGCTGTTTCATTTCAGAATTGGAATTTTGGGTGCCAAAAAACCTCTGAAATGAAACAGAAGGCTCTGAAACATCTCCGAAATGAAATGAAACCATCCGAAACATTTCAGAAATGTTTCAGATGTTTCGGATGTTTTGGAGCCAGGCTTGCAGGGAAACAGAAACTAAGAAGAGGGAGGGGGAAGAGGGGCAGAAAGACTGTTCTGATAGTGACATCTGTAGCTGGCCAATGTCTGTGATCTGTTCCTGAGGTCCCTTCCATTCCAGTGCTCTGGGGGAGAGACAGCAGCCTGCTGTCATCCCGCATGCAGATCTGGGGGCCTGCACCCCCCGGGAGGAGTCTGGCAGAGCCCCACAGCCCTCCCGAGGGACATAGGCCCCTGGATATGTGTGCAGGATGACAGCATGCTGCTGCTGCCGGCTGGGGCCAGCGCCAGAACTCGAGTCTGTTCGGTGCAGCCCATACCAAGCACAGCCGGGGAAGCCATGGGAGAATCCCCCATGGCTGCCGACCCAGCCTAGCCTCCAAAAAAAAAAAAAGCCACACTTGCTGTCTGTAGCTGGGGCTGTGGGGGCTCTAGGGCCATGTGGCAGAGCCCCCCTGCCCAGCCTGGCCCCAGCATCCCAGCACTTTAAAAAAAAGCCCTGCACTCACCGGATCTGGCAGTGGGAATCAAAGCCTCTGAGGGCTCATGGCAAAGCTCCCTGCAGAGCATGGGGCAGTGAGGGGGCAGCAGGAATCCCCGCCCCACTACCCACATGGCAGCTGCCCCATGGCGCGGGTGCAGTGCGGCTCGGCAGGGTGCCACATGCTGTCTGGGAGTTGGGGCCATTGAGGCTGAGTGGTGCCAGGCTCCAGGTGACTGCTGGAGCTGTCCCAGCTCCCAGACAGTGCATGGTGCTCTGCCAAGTCACACTGGACCCGTGCCATGGGGCAGCTGCCGTGCAGGTACCAGGTGGCAGGGGTGATCCCCGCTGCCTCCCACTGCCCCACACTGTGCAGGGGGTCTCTGCCATGAGCCCTCAGAAGCCCTGATCGCTGCTCATAGAACCAGTAAGTGCGGGGTTTTTTGTTTTTTTTTTTAAGTGCCGGGACTAGGCTGGGGCTAGCTGGGCTGGAGATGGGGTCGGGCAGGGCAGCCATGGGGGCTTCTCCCACTGCTCCACACACTTGGGGAGAGGCAGGCACAGCCAGAGGAGCTGCAAGGAAACCTGCAGCCGCCTGGCTGTGTCTGCCTCTCTCCGGCCAATCCGAATCTCCGAAACAGCATCAAAACTCTGGAACATATTTGGCCAAATTGAAACGGAGCAGTGATCTGAAACACCAAAACGAATCACTATCCTCTGAAATGGCCGAATCTGAAATTGAAATGAGACATGGCCATTTTGCACAGTCCTATAATCTACAATTCCCTGCAATATACCTCAAATGTGTTCTGGAAGGACTGGTTATTGGGACTCAAGTTAACTAAAACCCCATGTATAGTCAGTTCTTTTCTTTTCTGTGGTAATCAACAAAAAGGTACCAATGAAGACTACGGGCTGGATTCTAGTCCTCCTATTAAGCCCATAATTGGATGTAGGTATCTAAGCATGATCTTATTCCAACTTGCTCAAGTCCCTGAAAAAATTGATCATACCAGCTGTTGGTTCCAAATGTAATACCACACAACAGACATACAGAATACTTCTTTTCTTTGTTAGTATCAGACCAGCCATCCAGGGTATGTTAGATTAAAGGAAATGGCAAGTTTCTGACCATCATATCACAGAAAGGACATAAAACAATATTTAGAGCAAACATCTGTAGTTCATAAAATGGTCTAAATCACTGGAGTCCAAAGCTGCACAAAAGTATCTGTCAAAAGCATATACATAGGTTGTAAAATAAACAAAGTAACTGTCAGAAAGTTATTCCCGACCTCTACTCAATGAGTCCATTTACGTCTTCTACTAATTATTCCTTAATCTGTAAAAGGACATTGTTTTTAAAACCTATATATGGGTTATGTTCAGAACAAACATAATTTCCACAAACAAAATGTTTCAAAGGAGTTTAAAAAAAAATTCTATTATATTCAGAAGTTCTATTTGATGCTGTTTGCATCAATAGGAATGATCCTGTACATTATCTCACCAGGACCTTAAGACAGTATGGAGATGCTTCCTATTATCTTAGTCAGAACCTGGGACTTACCTCTCCCAACAGCATGGACAACTGATGGACCAAAGCCTCTGATTTGGAATCCCAGCCCATCTGCAGAGTCAGGAATCTTCACTGTCCTAATACAATACAAGAACTCCAGATGAAATATCAAATGGAGATTATGGAAGAATCTTATCATTAATTCACCTATTGTAATCAACCTCAAGCCCCTCACCCACAAGCCAGATATTTTTCACTCTTTTGAAAGCTGAAAAGGACTAAAAAGAGAGACTCTTAACCACCACTAATTATTTACACGATGACACAATGCTTATCACCATGCTATATGATCATTTGACATTTACAATTAATTTACTTTCACAATACTCATAGGAAAGCAATGCTTCATTTTTCAATTAAGAGTGACAAATGTGAAAACTGAGAACTACCTTTTTTAAGAATGACTAATGGTTTGGGGTTCATTTCTTTCTGGCATGAGATACTTTGAAAGGGCCTGCCTGTTAGATAGTACTTTTTTTTATTTCTTTTTGTTTACTTGTATTAAGGTGCTATCAAAACTCAAGAAGTACATTCCAAAGAACAACAGACTAAATTTTGTCCTTTAAAGCTCCTACAACATACCTTAAAAAAAATCAGACAAATTAATTTAATTTTAGTAAATTTCAATTTAAAACGTTTTCTTTTAAAAAGTTCCAATAAGTCTACGAATTATAGGAATCACAAAAAAATAATGGATAAGAATAAGGGAAAAAATAGAATAGAAAAAGAGAACTGATTCTGCAGCTCTTATTTCATAAGGATCTCAAAACTTGGCCCAGAGATAAGGCCACGATGAGACTGTGACTAAATTATAGTCTGAGTCTTCATGAGACTAAAGTATACAGAGAAAAGTAAATCAAGTTAAATGTGTGATAACATAACACGCATTCACCCAAGTCACTGAGCTATCAAATGGCAAACAAACTACAAAGATATTCCACATGTAATGTGAAGCACCTCTGTTTCTCATTTGTATGGTGCCTTAATTGAGTGCATGGCAGGTTAAAATTTGTTGGGCAGCCTTGCACATGGGTTTTTAGATGCTGAGCAGGGATGTTAATCAAGCACCCTCAGCTAGAACTTGCAAATCTGTGCCGGGGCAATCCCATATAGGGATGTAGTGCACACTTTCCCCTTTTCAGCACACACGGGATTGTTATTCTGGGCTCTACAGACACCAGCAATTTGAGAGGGTGAAGCACGGCATAGGGGACCAGTTCCCCATATCAGTTTCCTTGTGCCAGTCATTGTGTGGTTAGGATTCATGCCCTGATCCTAGCAATCACATGTCCTGCTACGCATGTGAGACATGGCAGGATGTACAATGGTTGTAATCAGGGATAAGATCCCATCTGCCATTAAACCAATGTCTGCTAACACTGTGAGCCAGAAGCACCAAAGTCCTGGGTTACCTAATTCCTAGGCAGCTACTCTGGCAAGTGCCTGAAAATGACAGGCTTTAAAAGCCCCAGTGGTGCAGACTGCCAAGGATTCTGCTGGAATTTCACTGAAAACTAGTTAGGTTCACATGTCATCAAGACAAATAAGCAGATATCAGTGAAAAAACATTTCGTGGCAATGTTTCTCTAGCTCTACTAAATTGTAAGTTCTTTTGGTAGGAACTATCTATTGCTCCATATTAGTGCAGTGCATAGCACAATGTGTTAGATCTTAGGAAGTAGAGTATTGAGAAAAATAGAAGAAAAATGCTAAGATTCAGAAGAGATAAATGTTTTAAAAGACATTCATTCAACATTATGCAAAAGTTTTATTCGTCCATAAATTTTCAGTAATATCCAATATCACTGTATCACTTCTTGCAAAGAAACGAAAAAGGTGACCATGCCCTTGGTTATATAGGGATATCCTAGGGAGAGGCTGAATCCAAACCCTTGCAGCCCATGTGCCCTTCTAAAAACTGAACCAACTAGTCTGCAAATGCTAGTTTTCCAATTTTACCAATATGGAAATAAATCAGCTTTTTTTAATCTTATGAATATTTCCAAATGACTTCAGTGTGAGATTTTTCCTGAATCAGAATCTGGAATATGCTTACACATCACTGCTTTACTAAAATTTGATAAATGTTGTAATTCAACCCACAAGATCACTCATAATGTATGCCAAAACTGGTTGCACAAAAATACAAACAATTTACCATAGGGTAAAATAGGGCTGGGCTTTACCATGTGTCAGCTGCTCCTTATTAACTGTCCAAATACCCCCAGTAGAAGAAGCAAAACTAAGCCTCCTCAATGAAAGAAGAGCAAGTTAACCAAAGTTACCTTTCACTTCCTATGGGGTAAGTTTGTGCAAACAGGCACATTTTAGTTGTTGTATGGTAAAGCCTCATGCCCTTTTACCCTATGGTAGGTTGTTCATATACGCATACTCTAAATCACACTTTTATATAGTCCTTATACTTGTTAATTTTAAAAAGTTGTCCTTAACAGGTGTACTGTGGGAAATTTTTATTAATTTAAGTGTGCCTTGGGGTGGAAAAGGTTGTGAAACACTGGTATATATTGCACTTTAGCCCTTACTATCATTTTGATTCTGATTCTCCTTTCTCTGATAAACTAATGTAACATCCTGCAGGGCAGGGAGCAAATTCAGGCAGATTTGGACAGACTGGGGAAGTGAGCGGGTCAGAATAGGATGTAATTTAGCAAGGATAAACGCAAGGTGCTGCACCTGGGGTGAAAGAATCTGCAACACACCAATAAACTGGGAGGTACCATTCTGGCACCACAACAGTGGAAAGAGATCTCAGAGTCCTGGTTGATGCAAAAATGAACATGAACCACCAGTGTGATAAGGCAATAAGCAAGGCTAACCATACTCTCTTGCATCAGGAGGTGCATCACGGGCGGATGATCGTGGGGAGGGGAAGTGATAATTCCCCTCTATGCAGCATTGGTGAGGCCGCAGATGGAGTAGTGAATCCAGTTTTGGGTGCTGCACTACAAGAGGGATGTGGATAACCTTGAGAGGGTCCAGAGGAGAGCTACTCGTATGGTTGAGGGCCTGCAGGTAAGATCCTACGAAGACAGACTGAGGGACCTGAATCTCTTCACCCTCCACAAGAGAAGGCTGAGAGGTGATCTTGTGGCTGTCTACAAACTCATCAGGGTGGGCCAGCAGGGAATAGGGGGCACTCTGTTTACCAGGATGCCCCTCAGGGTTACCAGAAATAATGGCCACAAACTGAAAGAGAATAAATTCAGATTGGACATACGGAAGAAATTCTTTACAGTGAGTGTTGCCAAAATATGGAATGGGCTTCCAAGGGAGGTGGTGCTTTCCCCTACTTTGGAGGTATTCAAGAAGAGATTGGATAGGCATCTGGCTGGGGTTACTTAACCCCAGTGCTCTATCCTGCCTGGAGCAGGGGGTCAAACCTGATGATCTGCCAAGTCCCTTCTGACCCTAGAAATCTATGAAATCCTTAATTTACAGTTGTTTAAACAAAGACCATCGTCAGTGTTTTATCTATGTCTAGTGACCTCATAGATTTAAGACTTAGGCATAGTCTAAAACAGGGCTGTCCAACTTCTTAGCAGCTGAGGCTAAGAAGTTGGACAGCACCAATCGTGCAGCACACAATGCTGGTGCATCATCGTGTGCTGCACCAGCAGGGGCTACAGCCCCCCTCGCTTCCTGGACTACAAGCTCTCCCAGCACCACATGGGCTGGTCACTCCTCCCTTGCCACTGCAATGTGCAGATTGGGGACCAGCCCCCACCCACCACCACCACCACTGCACTGTGCAAGCAAGCAGGCAACCCCACAACCACCACCTTGGCTGCAAGCTCTGCTGCACCATGTCATGACTCCCTTGGCACTGCAGACTGTGCAGCACCATGTTGCCCCCGGAGAAAGGGAGGGTGGAACCTGTAGACCTTGGCTGCATCAGCCACACAGCAGTGCAGGGCGCTGCTCCAGAGCCAGGCTGGGATCTTGTGGCAGTGACAGCGTAGTCCAGAGCACGTGGGGCACAGATGAGGGGAGCAGTGGCCAGAGGGCCACAAACTGCCAGTTGGACAGCCGTGGATTAAATGAAAAGAACTAAAGGCTTTGAAGTAATCAACTGGTATTCCATGATTCTTCCACATAAAAGGAAGAAAGGGAAAAAACTTTCTTTCTTTCAAGGAGTCTCTTAAAGATCTCGAGGAGTTTATTTTTTTAATCTTGTTTATAGGAGCTAATGAGAGACACCTATTAGATCACAGAGTCTAGCCTACAGTTGGACAGGATATGGTTCCCAAATAGAGGAAGTTGTTCAATAAACAAAATATTAGAAAATTGCCTATGTATGGGAAAAAGGTTCATTTACCCTTGTGGTTTCTGTATTATTTAAAATGAGAGCAATTTGAAAGTCAAAAGTTCTGTTCTCCTTTAGCTGATGTTGTCTGATAAATGTAACAGATATAAATTGAAAGCAGATTGATTTAGAAGAGACTAGCTAAAGGGATCTACTGTGTTGATAACAAATCAATCACTTTATTAAACAAGAACATTTTGCATAGTCAGGTAACTTTACAAGAGCCATTTAAACAATTTAAAGTACCTTTCAGCAAGAAATCACCTCATCCTAGCTACAGGCAACAAAATGAAGTTAATTCAGTCATTCCTGTTTAATAATATAAAGCCATTTGCCTTTTAAAAGTCCCTTCAGTCACCATTTTTAAAATTCCCAAAACAGGAACCACAACTTACTCGCGTGGTTTTGTGCTCACAAGAACCCTGAGGGGCTGTCTGCTGTTTAAACATGCTTTCAAAAAGTAATCCACTTCATTGAAGGGTCTCAGAAAAACTAGGTCACCATTAATGGCAAAGATCTTTTTCCCTACTTCCAGGCCTGCCATCTAAGTGAGAGAAGAAGAAAAACAATCAGAATCTTTTTTTTGACCACCAATATAATGATTTCTCCTCAGTTGTACTGAAGAGTCAGTAATATAATGTCATATCAATAAGAAATTGACAAAACAGGCATAACCCAGACCTAGGATGCCAAAAAAACATATTGGAAGCCATGTTTGAAAAACACTTAGTACAAAAGGCCCTGACCTTGGCTGAAGCCTTGAGACAGTGCTGCAATACAAGTTAATAGTCATTATTAATAATGTAGACAGCATGATGATAACAGAAATTGGCCCAATAAAAACTGTCATATTACCTAATCTACTTGTCTGCTGTTCTCTAAAGAAGTTAAAACTCATTTTCAAAATACAGGGACTTGCTAATAAACATGTTAAACAGCAAGTAAATGTTTTACCTTACAAAAACAAAAAATCCTCAAACATTTTGTGTTTCACACATTTGAGCCATAGATATCACATACAGGATCATAAAATATCTTTAAATCAGGGGTGGGCAAAGTCCAGCCCAGGGGTCAGATCTGACTGGCAGTAGGCTCCATTTCCCAGCAGCCCCTGCCCAGGTGGCTGGGGCCAGTTTTCATGGAGACCCCCGCAGCAGCCATGCTGTGATACAGCAAGGCTGGAGTTTCTGTGCAGACTGCCCCTACCAGTGCTGGCAGGCAGCAGTGCCAGCCTCTTCCTGGTGTAGGGCTGAGGGGAGGCTGTGCTGCAGGCAGGAGCGGGGCAGGTTCAGCTGCCACCACTTGTGCAAGGCGGGCAGCAGTGGTAGCAGTGATGCCCCTGGGAGGGGTGGCTACAGGAAATTTTGGAGTGGCTATTGCCCCCCACCCCCCACCCAGCACCATCCCTGCTGGCAGGGCACACAGCAGGGCAGGGAGCTGCTCTAGAACCAGGCTGGGATCTTGTGGCAGTGACAGCATGGTCCAGAGCAAGGGCAAAGCCACGATCTGCAGCCTGCATGCTCCAGGCAGGGGCATGCAGGCAGCGGATCACAGCTCTGCCCCAGCTCCAGACCACACTGTCACCACTGCAGGGAGCTGGGGCAGAGCTCTGACCCACTGCCTGCACATTGCTGCCCAGAGCATGCAGGCTGTAGATCAAGGCTCTACCCTGGCTCTGGACCGTGCTGTCACCACTGCAAGATCCTGGCCCAGCTCTGAAGCAGCTCCATGCCCTACCAGTGCTGCTGGGGCCACTCTCCATGGAAACCCTGACCTCATGCTATCACACCACAGCTGCTGCTGGGGTCTCCATGGGAACCAGGCCCAGCCACATGGGCATGGGCTGCTGGGAAATGGAGTCTGGCCACCAGCTGGATCTGCCATTTTGCCCACCCCTGCTTTAAATTATTGGGCAATTAAGTCCCTGACAGATGTTACAATCAAAAGCACCATGTACCACCTTGGCTAGGAGCTGTGATCAGCCAGAGGTGGTGAAATGTGCCAGTTTAGTAATTAGGAATGGAGAGGTTGGGGACAGAGGACCGATCACAACATATTGAGACCATTTCCTATGTACTCCGCAGCAGAGCAGGCCTTAAGGAAAATGGCACCCTGACCAAACTTGTATTTGGGTACCCTCCGGTGCTCTTCCTGCCTAGCACTCTCCCATCCCCCCATGCTGCCCTGCTGCAGAGGGGCTCTGTCTGATGGGCCAGATAGCTGGCAAGGTGTCTGCCTGCAGCAGGGATCACTGGCTGCAGCCCCATGGAGCCAAAGTGAAGGAAGCAGGAGCCTGTGATGAACAGCTGGTGAGTACTGGCATGGAGCCTCCCAGTGCCCTGCAGCTACCCTGGAGTTCCTCCAGGGCCCAACACACAACTGGCCACATGCAGGCAAGCCTTGGCCAGAGCCATCCCCCGTTTCCCTCCATTGGCCTCCAGCCCAAGCCAAGGGCTCCCTGCATATGCTGCCCCACCCCACACTGCCCCACCCAGGCAGAAGCAGGTGTGGAATCAGGTAGCTCACACCAGCGTCACATCGTGCAGGGCCCCAAGCAACGCCCCAGGCCAGCACCGCTACCTGCCGCTTGCAGTGCTCATGTGCGTGTGTGTGGAGGGGGTTCCCTCCCATAGCATCCTGGGCATTTGCCCACACCACCCCCACCCCCGCTAAGGCTGGCTCTGCTCCACAGGCTGGGCACTAGTCACATGTTCAATTAAAGGCCTAAGATAAACTAGCCCTAAAAGTTATTATACATATTTTGTGTTATAACACTATGGCTTATTCCTCATTTTATCATGCCATTATTTGATTGAATGTGGGGCCAGGTCACTACTTAAGATATGATTAACCCGTTAATCATGTCTTGTGTGTAATGTCTGTCAGGGGTCTAGAAAAAATAGGGTTATGCAAAGTTAATACAGCTGAACGTTGGCTGGATATAATCCTGTGGTTGTATTATACCACTGGTTTGCTGCATCTTTAATTCCTATCCTTTTGTGGGATTAAAAAAAAAAGTTAAATCCAGCTCTTCAAGGATTTCCCTGTAAAATAAAAATTCCAAATGTTATCTTAAAATATCACTGTTTGTCTAGCTGTGCATATACTGGAATTCCCATTCATGTCAGTGTGTTCCATCTGAAACAGTGCCAACATAAATACAAACCCTCTCATTTACTTTCTCAAATTTTCAAACTCTGCAGTTTACATTATTACAAATAAAAACAATAAAAACCTTGATACACCCCACTTTTAAATGAAATAATTCAAGTATTTGTCTGTGGAGTACCACATTTGCTTTATTTTCATCACATGTTCTTTGCAGTCATGCCTGGCACTCAAGAATAAGGCTATCATAAAAATAAAACATTTATAAACATTTATAAGATATTAATAATATAACTTCAAATATCATAAATCACAACTGAAAATAAAGTGATAGGACTACAAATGGTTATAAAAGCTGTTTTAAACAAACATGACAAAAAATCCAAATTTTTCCTTGAAAAAATACCCAAAGCAGGAAGCTGAATGTTATTTTCTAAATATATGATATTTAAAATTATACTACAAATAAGAATGTGAATATACATTTTTGAACAAGGCCATAAAAAGTAAAAGTAAAAAAACAGAGTATAAATTAGTATTTGATACCTCAGCATTTGACCCTTTCTCCACTACTTTAATAATAGGCACTTTGTTTTTGTCTTCTAAACCAAAACCATAGCTGCCTTCATTAGATTTAATCTGAAAAATAAAATAGGTTAACACAGTGTTTACTGAAATGATCTGAAATGTTCTTTAAAAATAAACGAAAGCAAAAACATGCTGTGGTCTAATACACAAACATATGGGGTTTAATGTTACTGCATCCTACCTATTACTGGCCAAAGCACATGTTTATTCAATCTAACTTACCAATAATGATTTGGCTATAACATTTTCCACAACTTTTAAGTCATGTTTCATGAGCCTGTGCTTCATATTTGACCCTTCCATCTCTTCATCCGCAAAAAAACGAAATAGCAGTGGTTCATCTTTAAATTCACTTTTTTCTAATACTGTAAAATACACAAATAAATAAAAAGATTAATTTTTCAATTGTGAACAAAAGTTCTTTCCAAAATAGTAATCATTTTTGAGCATTTGTACTCTAGAGCAACCCAAATTATTTAAACATAAGCAGCAAAGAATCATAGAAATTAAGGGTTGCCAGGGACCTTGAAAGATCAATCCCCCTGCTCTGGGTAGCAATATTGTTGAGATCAAATGATCCCAGCAAGGTGTCTGTCCAGTCTCCTTTTGAAAACTTCCAACATTGCGGACTGCACCACTTCCTTGGGAAGTTTGTTCCAGATTCTGGTCACCTTTACAGTAAACAAGTTCTTCCTTGCCTCCAACCTGAAACCATCCTTTAACAATTTATGGCCATTGCTCCTTGTCCTTCCCTGGGGCGCCCTAGTGAACAGTTTTTCTCCCAGCTCCCAATATTCACCCCGTACTTACATAAGTTATACTTTCTAATTGTACTCAATACAAATAACAGCAGCTTCATGCTCAAGTACAGCAGTTTGATTTCACAAGCCAGAAGAAATATTTTATCTTCAAAATAATTTTAGCTGATATTTAATGAACAAAAGCTTATAAGCTTTTCTCCTTCAAAGGGATTCATAAACATAAATCTGAAGAGCTCTGCTGGACAGCTGGGCTAGGAACAGAAGTTACAGAAAAACTGTCTGGAGTGATCCAAAACAGAACAAAAGTTCAGTGAACATAAACCACTTTCAAAATGGCCAAAACCAGTTTAAGATAAACTTGGTTAGATGCAGTATCAGACTCAATTGATTTAGGTCAAATCATTTTATAGAACTTCTGTCCCAAATCCCTTCCCAATTCAAGTTAAATCACAGTCCACCAGCATCCCTGAATGATGTGCAGCCCTGGGCTCTGCTGTCTACTCCAGCGGAGCACGGCTGGCCCCTCCCTCAGCTATTACTGAGCTAAAGCACTAAAGCCTCTTCTTCCTGCCAGCACCTCTCAGCCCAGTGGGATGGGACGGGGGGGGCAAGGGAATAGAACCCCAGCCCCTCCTATCCCCTCCATGTGTACAGGACAAGAGGAAGGAAAGCCCCAGGAGTGGGGGCTTTTCACTCCTGCAGCAGCAAGGTGAGAGAGGTGAGAGGCTAAGCCTCATCTCCTCCCCAGCCCCCACCCTGTGAGGGGGAGAGATCAGAGCAGGGGAAAGAGAAATGCACTTCCCCCTTCCCAGTCCCAGCCCCCACCCCTTCCCCTCTCCCTGATCTGTCCAACACGGGGGGAAGCTCCCACTGGGGGCTTTTTGCTCACCTGTAAGAGACGGTGGCAGGGAAAGGAATGCACCAGCCCAGCCTGGCCAGTCACTGCCATGCCCCCATCCAGCATCTGCCTGGTGCAGGGGGCAGGAAGGAAAACACACTGGCCTGGCCTGGCATTAGTCAACCAGATGAAGTCTGGCTGGCATGGGGTGATTGCAGCCCCCAGTGGGATTTTTTGTAATCCTGCAGCCCAGTAAGTCAGGTGGGGATCAGCTCCAACCCCTCTTGGGGAGGAGGCAGGGCTGAGATGATTCCAGCCCTGCAAGTTGGCTGCAGGGGAGCAAAAACCCCCAGTGGGGTATTTCCTCCATATTGGGCAGAACCCAGCTGGGGAAGGGTGGGGGCAGTGCCAGTCCAGGTGTGTGCATTTCCCCCACCACCTCGCACACACATGGGACTGGGGAGGGGGCAGAACTGAGCCAATCAAAGCCCTGCTATCTAGGCTGTGGTGGATGAACAGCCACCCAGGGGGGGCTTTTCCTGTGCCAGGGAGACCCCAAAAGGAGGTTGAGGGCAGGGCCAGGTAATGCATTCCCCCTCCCCACCCCCTTCCCAGAGGCAAGTTCTAGGGAGAGATTTTCTGCTGGCTTTCCCCTCCCTGAAGCTTATAGGGCGTGGGGAGTACATGGACAATGTGCAGCAGCCAGTTAGGCCTGGGCTGACACTGGACTGGGTTTAGCAGCCTAAGGCAGCTGGCCATAAAGGGTAGTGTACATGAGAGCATCCAGGCTCCTGGATTGGGCTGGTGCAAGCTTCTGTGTGTCTTGGCCACCCAAACACTGAACATCAGTTCAGCTGGCTATCAGTTCAAGCTATGCAGCTTAGAAAAACTTGTGAAGATTGAATTGATTCCACCTCAGGTTTTTTGAACCCCTGTACTTAGCCCTGTTGAAGATCACCGTTTACTATCAAACCTTGGCACTTTTCAGGTGGTGAAATGTGCCAGGTTAGTAATTAGGAATGAAGGGGTTTGGGACAAAGGACTGACTACAACAGCAGATTGAGACCATTCATATATTGAAAAAGAAAAAAAAGGTTGCTGAAAAGACAATGAGGCTACCCTTTATTTTATTTCTCCCATTCTCTCTCTGACTTCACGGCCCTTGCCTCAAGGGAAATGAACACAATCTTTTGAGAAGACAAGCCTAGACACAAACATTACTGGACACTACGAACCATGGACTCAACACTGACAATGGTTTTATGGTTCATACCCTTCATACCATTTGATGAAGTAAGCAGCTGTTTACAAATGCTTATGTAGCTCTGACTTAGTCTAGGTGCAAGGTGTGACTCTACCCTGCCTTCTCTATAGCTCATTACAATTTACTTGCTCCCTCTGCAAACCTCTCTATGCTCCTCAGATAATAACAGCCCTCTTCTGTCTCGAATTGTCTTATTGTTTTACATAAATTAGGAATATACATTTAACTGTTCATTACCTGGTGTGCAGCTACTGCTCATAATTTAGCTTTGATCCACAAGTTTACTACGCACTTCCCCGTGTTTTTGTTCAAGTAAGAGATCAAACTAAAAAAAAGAAATCATTCTACCTAATGTTTACTGGGGCTATATCTATTTCTTCCCCAAAAGATTACCCAGTCTATCTCCCAATTATATGGTTAGCCCAATAAAAGATATTAGCAAACTAATTTTTCTTCTCTCTTGTCTGTCCATACACTTAAGACTTCCCATGATCCCTTCCATTTTCTTTTCATCATTTTTTCACATTGTTCCTTATCTGAACTCCACTGCGTTTATGTTGGCTGACTTAAATGGCAGGGCTTCTAGGCAGAGATCAGATTGTATTCAAAGCTCCAATATTTCTTAGTAATGATTACTAACAAAAATGCCTCCATAAATCTTTCAAAAACTAATGGCCCCACCACACACACACACACACACACACACACACACACACACACACACACACACACACACACTGTGTATACTCTTAATTAACTCTAAGTAACACAAGAATCCTGTTAAATATTTTGTGAAATATTTAAAATGTTTTTTTCAGAGAGAACTGAAACCGTTTACTGACTTGCCTATCTACCTTTTCTAATCTCTTAAATGAGTCCCTTCATTTTCTTCGTACAATGCAGAAGCAATTTAATGAAACGTGAGTGAGAACTTATACAAAATGTGCTTACCATGGTGCATAAACCCATTGTCGCAAAGAGCTACACCAAAAATCATTGCTTCCTCCCTGGTCCGGCAATCTCCCTGTTAAATCAAAATAAGTGGTATGTAATAACAAACTCTGAAAAAGGTATTCTACTGTATATCCATAACACTGAAAGAATGGAAACTGTGGACAAAAATATGAGTAAATTGTGCTCCTGCATAATAACATGTTTACTATCATCACAATGATGACTATGCCTACTATTAGGCATGTAATTTTATAAAACAGGGATGTCCAACTTCTAAGCACATGGGATACAGGCCAGGGTGAGCTACAGCCCCCCCTGGGTTATCATGCATTATACACGGCCCGCTGTACTGCACAGGAGCTCTTCCCAACCACATGTGTGCTTCCCCACTTGCCACTGTTGCACCACACAGACTTGGGCTCACTCTCAGGCTCCCATCCTGACCTGCTTTACCTTGCCCTATCCTTGGGGCAGAGGCAGGAAGTATATGACAGAGTGAGATCCCAGCAACTCCAGCTACTGTTGCAGACAGAACAATGCAGGAGAGATGTAGCTAGACAGGAGTCAGGTACTGCAACTTAACTTGTGGCATATGGGCTGCTATTTAGAAAGCCCTAGTCTAAAATATCTTTGATCCACAAGTTTACTACGCACTTCCCCTTATTTTTGTTCAAGTAAAAGATCAAACTAAAAAAAAGAAATCATTCTACCTAATGTTTACTGGGGCTATATCTATTTCTTCCCCAAAAGTTTACCCTAGTCTAAAATATTGAATCCTGATGGTGACACTGCATTGTCAAAATATTCAGATAATATAGATATTCCAGAAAATAAGCCTAAACCAAAGTTCATAAGATATCCTAAATCTTTTCTAATATTTCTGGTTATCAACTTTTCTCCCAATTGCTTTCATTCTTTACACTTATTCTAATTTATTGTCCGTGATCCTTCATTACTTATTCCAACATTTCTGCTGACATGTATATTTAAACCTACTCAAAGAACAATGATGGCTTTAATTTGTAAAATGATGCTACAAATAATTTGTAAACGTGTAATATTTATAAACCATGTTCATTTTCACATTTAGTATTGTCCCAATACATATAAGAAGTACCCTAATTTATTTTGAAGGTATAAAATTTGTACAGAAGGGATTCTTGAATCTGTGCTCTCACTCAATTGCTGTCAGATCCTATTCCCAAAGAACCTCTACTCTTGTCAGATTTTGCAGCCCTATGTAATAGTAGCACAGAACCACATTGGCTGAGAACTATCTAAATTCAGAGAAAAAATGGTACATCACTCAGCCTACAAGTTATTACTATCCTCTTTCAATACAAATATTTGCCTAAAACAGAATTCCCTGATTGTAAACTTCTCCCTGCCACTTCCTTTTGCCTAGTAGGTAATCTATAGCTCCTACCCTGTTTTAAAAAAAATTACAAACACTGCTGTATGTTGTATCAGGAAAGAATTAAGCAAAGCATACAAAAATTAAAACTTCAGTTTGTAACACAGGAAGATCAGCCTTTGGCCACTGTCAGGCAATTTCTGCCATTTTACACAACTAATAGTTACAGAACTAATAGTTCTATATTTATAGAAACTCAATTTTAAAAATTAGGATTTTTGGACAAACTATTTGCCAGTTGCTTCACTCAATAAACTACTCCTTTCTATGGAAGGATGCAACCTCAATATGCAGAAAAGCAGATCAACCTAAAAATACACTTGCCTGCGCAATCAGCCAGTCTATCAGTTTGTTAGCCATAACTACAGATTTGTAGGTCCTTAGATGGTAATCTTTATCCCTGTTTAAAAACAGAAAAACAAATCCCTCTATGTTACACACAAATCAATACAAGCATTATCTATGCTGTTTTTAATAATTTTGTGTACCTTAGATGTAGATGCTTAGAGGCTGCCCCGAGATCAACTCTTTAACTGGGGTTAAGGACGAGGCAGAATTTGGCCCAATTTTATATATAGTATCTACTCTTCATATATGAATTTCTTCTACGAGAGTCAGTAAATACTTAACATGTAGCCTCACCTTATTACTGGAGTAAACAGGCTGTGAAGACGACAGTACAATCTTACTCCCTGTTAAAGATAAGGATATGTTTAAATCCTTTTACAGTGAATGAAATAGCACAGTTCATGCATATTCTAGCAAATCTTAACCAATCAAAACTTGGAATCCATTTATATTTAAAAGTAGAACATTCATTTTAGACATGTTTTCATATATCAAAATAATTTCTGAAGCTTCCAAAAAATCAAAAAACCCCTAAACTTTTATGTACAAAGTGAACACACAACTCACCATACACTAAACAAATTAAAAAATTTGATAAGAAATGACTCAAAAGTATTTGAATATAAAAATCATACTTTTTTGACTTTCACGTGTTTTCACCACAGAATTTTCCTGAAAGCACATCAGTATATAAAAATACATAAAAAAATAACAAGAAAATGAGGACATACACTACACCAATAACACAAAATAAATCAAAAGTTTTAGGCAGAAACTCTGCCACATATTGCTGTGCCAGCTAACTCAGAGATACTCAATATTTGCAACCAGCAAGGAGAAAAATCAGTAAAGTAACCATCATAACAGAATAGGTTGGGAAAAAATAAAGTGACCTCAGTTTACATTTGTTGAATTCAACAGAATCATAAACTAGAATCATCAATGGGGCTAAGAGTGACTTTTGTTTTATTCCTTCTATTAACGAATTCACTGTGGACATAAAAATCACACAACTTAAATGTCTGCTAAAACCTCAGGTGACTTCTAATGTCTTGAGAAAAAAATACCATTTTTAAATATACAACACACCCCTGAATAAGATATACACCTTGTTTTTGAAAGGCAAAATGAAGAAAAAAATCTGTCTTTGAACATACTGTAAGAGTAACTGAGTAGCACCTCCTACAACAGGAATCTCTGCAAGCAGGGGGAAGGAAAGGGAGGAAGGATGGGGAGAGAAAAAGAAAGTACCACAGACAGCAGCTACAGAGCCTTGTTGCTGCAGCATTACTTTTGCTTTCCCGCCCAGCAGAGGCAGAAACTGTTATTACTATATTTCCTTGTTATTAAATGCACCCAATTTCCAACACTTGAATTTTGGTAAAAGGTGTGTGCTGTGTACAAAAAATATGATACTGTTTCCTCACTAAAGGAATATCAAAGGTCAGTCAGATTTGAAAAAGCAGGCAAAAGGAATGCCCGTCTAAAACAGCCATACTGTTTGCTTTTTTTAAATTCAAGGTCATTGAAAAAGGAGCAAGCGTCTCTAATATGATTTTGCAATGTCTGCTGAAAAAAAAATCATTTTTAGCAAATGCATTTCCTTGTTTCTACAGGATTTGCAGTAAACCAAGAGCCGAAACTTGACTTCAGATATGCATTATTTACTCTGATGCACATTAATGCGAGATATATGGAAGTGTCCAGGGACCGACTTTGTCCTAACAGTGTGTTTTTGTTTGATACGTAACCTGAGTTTCATCTCCAACACATTTTTATTAATAACAGTACTTCTGTACCTTGGAAATAACATCCTGCATTTCATTTCGTGGGTAGTATGTTCCATCATCGTAACGGAATCTGTAGAGCATGTGTTCAGGTTTGAACTGGTGCTTATCTGTAACTAAAGCAAAAAGTAATCATGGAAAGCTACCCAAAGAATTCTGATCCTGCATAGACAGGAAGGCAATCCATATGACACAAAGTAATTCATTCCCTATATAC